ATATATATATATATATAATATGAGATGCTTTGAACTTAGATGTGAAAGCTAATTGTTATAAAAAGATATGTTTGGATAAATTTTTGTAAAAATATTTTTAATAAACAAAAATATGAAGAGAAATAAAATAATTTTTTCTATAATTTAAATTAGATGATGCATAAATTAATTTTTGTTAAGATTTTCTCCTATTTATTTTTTTAAAATCTTAAATTTAACTTATAAATAACTTATTTCAAACATGCATTCAAATCTATATGAAATTAATTTTATAAGGGGAGTGAGTAGATCCAAAGATTCTTCCTATCTAAAGTTATTTGTTGTGTAAATAACCATCATAAAGTTGTTGTTTGAGACGAAGATCTTGGACAATAGTACTATTTGACCTTCATAATAGAAATTTTTTTGTTTGTTATTTCTATTCTATTGAGCGAGAAAATAATATTATGAGATTTACCAATTTATTTTTTTTAATAACAAATCAATGTAATTTCATTCACCAGCTTTCATTCATTCTTTTTTTATTTGATTATTTCTCACCTATTTGTTATTATCAAATGGAAAGTTAGTGAGAATTTTTTTTTCTCCCATCTACATTTTTTTATTCATAAAATTTGAACCCTTCAAAATTCAAATTATGATAATGATAATAAATTGACTTTGCCTCCCTATTTTCTATTGCTTGGATATTTGTACAAAAATCTTTACTATGATAATAAATAAAATTAAAATCAATTAAATAATACATTTGAAAAAATATATATAATATATTTATTATTAACTAAAATTTATTAAAAAATATAAAGTCACAATAAAACTTATTAAATATGATATAAGATGATATCATAAAATTTAATTATATATCTTTTAACCACTTTATTTTACGTCAATGGATTGTGTAGAGGGGAAGAAAGGGGAAGGAGTCAAATATTAGGGACAAAGTGAAATGATTTCAATTAGTTAAATTACTAATGAAAGAGTTGAAAACTTATGTAGTGTTTGTAATTTTATATACCCTCTCAAATGAGGGGATCCAAGGAAACTTTTATATTTTACATTCCTTATCTTTTCTTCTATCACTTGAGTGAACACTTTAATTATATAAAAAAAATAAAGTTAATTTATAACATCATTTAAACATTTTATTTAATTTAATATAAACTAATAATTTTTTCTTATATTTCTCTTTTTCTCAAATAACCTCAATTTTTTTTTTTTTTTACTTTTCTTCTCTTTTCACGTATTTCCTCAACCTACTTTCACTTTTCTTCTCTTTTCACGTATTTCCTCAACCTACTTTCACTTGCATCCTTAGTATCAATTATGAAACTAACATAATATTACTGTGTTACAGTGTGTTGTTGACCATCTGAATGAGTTTAATTGAGAGGTAACATTTGTGAAACATGGCTTTTGCTCGGAAGCTTCTGAACACTTTCTCCCGCTTGCAGTGGAAATTCCAAAAGCCTATCCAACTGACCGAGTCTGAACACACGACACAGTAGACTATGACCATTTGGTAGACAATCTTCATCTTCATTCCTCTCTTGCACTTTTTCTCTTAAAAGTTACAACCCAATATCATTCATTCAGAAATGGAATCTGATCAATCACCTCAGATCAAGGGCGTTGTTATAATCTCCCTTCCACCCCCAGATAACCCTTCTTTGGGCAAAACCATCACTGCTTTCACTTTCTCTAACCCTTCTCCTCAACCTTCTCCACAGCAACACCAAAGTAACCAAACACACACAATTACTCACAACACTGACCCTCCACTTCAGTCCTACCCATCAAATCCTGACCTTACTTTTTCATTCACAAGACTCTTCCACAGCACCCCAGTGAAGCTTTTTTCAAATTTTAATTACTTTTATCTTATTGAAAATATATTTCTTTTAATGTATGATATTTTAATTATTTTATTTCTTTTGATATTTATAATAAAGATAATTTTTAAAAAATATTATAAAAATAATAATATAAATAAATAATTTTCTTAATGTACCTATTTTTTTATATATTCATAATAGAGAAGAGAAAAAGTATTAAAGACTAAAACTTTTACATACTATTCTCTTTATTTTCTATTATATTTTTTTATTATAATAAAAAATAAAACTTTTATTTTTAAATACAAATAAATTTTAATTATTTTTATCTTATTTAATTAATTATATACTTTTTTAAATATTCTTTTTTAAATATATAACATTTGAGTTACACTATTTTTTTAAGTATTTATAACAAGAATAATTTTTTAAAAAAATATTATAAAATTTAATATAGGTAATTAATTTCTTTAAAATATTTAAAGTATTTTTTTATTATTTATAATATAGAATAGAGGGATAGGGAATATATAAAAATTAAAATAAAAAAATAAAAAAATAAAAAAAGATGTTTAGGTCAGCGAGTAAGTCGAATCGAAGGTAGGTTTTTCCAAGGCAGCGGCAGAGCATGTTCCTTGCCTTGTCCTCCTCACCTCGTTCACTTCCATGACTTACAAATTTTTTGGTCTTAGAAAAATGAGAACACGATGGGTCCCACTTAGATATGTAATAATTTCTACGCCAGTGAACCCCACCAAAGAGTACTATACAACTATTGCATCTGTACGTCCATTCCAACTTGCTATCGTCAACAACTTGTTAGTTGTTACTTTAATTTCGAATAAATTAAACATATACCTCCAAATCCAAATATAGAGTGAACAGCTAGAGAGAACAAACATTTAATAAATAAAAAAAACAACAACGTTAGAGAGTAGACTACTTAGGTTTATTTGCTTGTATACAAGTCTTGTATCAAATAAATCATGTAAATGAACTTTTAAATTTTGTCATACTTTTAAATAAACTAGGTTAGATCTAATTAGAAATAGACCACTAAGTTAGATTCAGATTTAATAATGTTATAGGTCTGCTTTACTAGTCAAAATCTCTTCTTAGTCAGATCTGTTTTCATCTTTGTTTTTAATTATTTAATATTTTAGTTTATACATATAAATACATATTTATTATATATAATTAAAAAATATAATAAATTATATCTATATTAATATATAAAAAAGACATTCCTCTTCATAATATTTTTAATCTTCATATTTCTTCTCTTTTCACGTATTTCCTCAACCTACTTTCACTTGCATCCTTAGTATCAATTATGAAACTAACATAATATTACTGTGTTACAGTGTGTTGTTGACCATCTGAATGAGTTTAATTGAGAGGTAACATTTGTGAAACATGGCTTTTGCTCGGAAGCTTCTGAACACTTTCTCCCGCTTGCAGTGGAAATTCCAAAAGCCTATCCAACTGACCGAGTCTGAACACACGACACAGTAGACTATGACCATTTGGTAGACAATCTTCATCTTCATTCCTCTCTTGCACTTTTTCTCTTAAAAGTTACAACCCAATATCATTCATTCAGAAATGGAATCTGATCAATCACCTCAGATCAAGGGCGTTGTTATAATCTCCCTTCCACCCCCAGATAACCCTTCTTTGGGCAAAACCATCACTGCTTTCACTTTCTCTAACCCTTCTCCTCAACCTTCTCCACAGCAACACCAAAGTAACCAAACACACACAATTACTCACAACACTGACCCTCCACTTCAGTCCTACCCATCAAATCCTGACCTTACTTTTTCATTCACAAGACTCTTCCACAGCACCCCAGTGAAGCTTTTTTCGTTTTTTGGTGTTCTTCTCTTTGCCCTTTTTCTCTACGGTTCTGTTTCTTCGACCACCACTCAGGAACTGCGTGGACCCAAGAAAGATGATGGCACGCCGAGTTCCTTTTTGTTCCCTTTGTTTCCCAAATTTGGTGTTTTGGGGCAGAAGGATGTGAAGCTTCAACTGCGGAAGGTTGTTCAAAAAGAGAAGCTTTTCACCCGAAAAAACGATGTCGTTGGTTCTGGGGCTGTGGCCGTTGACTCATCTTCAGTTTTTCCAGTCAGTGGCAACGTGTATCCAGACGGGTATGATCAAAATCGTTGCTATTTTGCTGATTTCATTGTTGGGTTTAGAACTCAAACCATGTGTCGTTTAGCTAAATCATGAGTGGGGAAAGAAGAAAAAAATCAAAAGTTTAAATGTCTCTGTTTGGCCTTTCGGGAAAGTGAATTGAACTTTTTCCATAAATTAAAATTAATGTACTTCGACTTTATAGAAATCTTCTCATTTAACTTTTCCAAAAAGTATATTTTAACATACATAAATTAGTTCGTTCATGTAAATGCTTATTGAAAAACAGGATCAATTAATATATATGTGAAAGGGAATAGAGATTCACTTACTTTATTCAATAAATTATGTATTACTTCAAATTTCAATAATTTAATTATTGAAATTAAAAGTTTTTAATGTATAAATCAAGTTTGTAAAATTTTAAAAATTTTGAAAACTATTTAATATTTTGATTTATTAATTTCAATCAATGTATAAATTATTTTTATCCATCAATTTAAATTAATAAATCGAAGAATCAAATGGTTTTAAAATTTTACAGACTTGATTTATGTATTGAAAATATTTAATTTAACAATTGAATCATGATATAGAATATAAGTTATTAAGCAAAATAAGTTTCCCAAAACTCTTTAGACCAAGTGAATCTCTCCCCTCTCAATATATATACACCCAATGATGTCTTTATTGCCGGTTTGTGGTGCATTTTAACAAAATGGGGATCTGTCCAGTGAGTAATATGGTTGTTGGAGTCCATGTTAAATATGCTTCTGAGAGACTCCAATTGTATGATAAGCTAGGAGCTACTGATTTGTATTGTAGCTACACCAGTTCCCCCTCTTGCATCATTGTTGTGATGGCTTAGCAAAATGTTCTTCCTTGCAGGTTGTATTTCACTATTTTGCGCGTTGGAAATCCTCCAAAAAGTTACTTCCTTGACGTGGATACAGGGAGTGACTTAACTTGGATGCAATGTGATGCTCCATGCAGAAGTTGTGGGAAGGTAATTTGAATTATTTTTATATTTGTCAAATATCAATCAACCTCATATGCATGTGGATTTTGGAATTTTGAAGGGGTGCAATGTGCAATATCAATATAGCATAACTATACCTCTTTTTTTTTATTTTTTATTTTTATGTATATTCCTTTCTAAAAGGTAGAAAAGGCCTCTCAGCAAGATGTACTGTAGAAATAAACTTACTGTATGTTTATGCAATTTTTCCATTTGAAGAACTGTGTTTACTCAAAGTATTAAATTGATACAGGGAGCACATGTCCTGTACAAGCCAACAAGATCCAATGTAGTATCATCTGTGGACGCCCTTTGCATGGATGTTCAGAAAAATCAGAAGAATGGACATCAAGGAATATTGCAACAGTGTGACTATGAAATTCAATATGCAGATCATAGTTCTTCCTTGGGGGTTCTTATAAGAGACGAGCTTCATCTTGTAACTACTAATGGATCCAAAACCAAGCTAAATTTTGTTTTTGGGTATGAATCCTCTTCTTACTGCTATTTTTCCTTAAGGCAATATATTATAAGAAAATGCTGATCCATTCTATGCAATATTGTTGTTTTAAGGTGTGGATATGATCAAGAAGGCTTGCTTTTGAACACATTGGCTAAGACAGATGGAATCATGGGACTGAGCAGGGCACAAGTCAGCCTACCCTACCAGTTAGCAAGCAAAGGGCTTATTAAGAATGTGGTTGGTCATTGCCTAAGCAATGATGATGTTGGTGGTGGATACATGTTCTTGGGTGATGATTTTGTGCCATATTGGGGCATGACTTGGGTACCCATGGCCTATACCCATACTTCGTGAGTATTATTTTCTTAACGATGTACTTTTATGTATGATTTTGAAAAGAACAAAACTTAGGTACAATACCATAGGTATTGTTGGTGTTGTTCTTCAATCAAAATTGAGTTTCACCTCAATAATATGCATTTAAATTTAATACAACTCTTGATAATATACACTTACACATATTATTAAGATAAAATTCCAATTCTGATTAGAGAATAACACTAAGTTTTGTCCTTTTGAAAACTCCTATTTTATTAATTTTTTCTGACATGGTGTGCACTATTCTGAGGTTTGTTGTGATTCTTCTGTAACTTATATGTGCTATATACACTACCCTATAGGGATTTATACCAAACTGAGATTCTTGGAATAAATTATGGTAATCGCCCACTCAGATTTGATGGCCAAAGCAAAGTTGGAAAGGTGATTTTTGATAGTGGCAGCTCTTACACATATTTCACAAAAGAGGCATATTTGGATCTTGTTGCTTCTGTGAGTTTTTACATTCATTTATCCATTTGCGACCATTTTCTACATTTTTCTTGAGTCCGGTATTGAATGCCACAAATTCATTATGTATGTATTGGTGCAGCTTAATGAAGTTTCTGGGTTGGGACTCGTTCAAGATGATTCAGATACTACTTTACCCATTTGTTGGCAAGCTAATTTCCCAATCAAGTAAGAGAATTTACTTACTCAAGGTGCAATAGTTTTTGGCTTTATAACGTTGTTTTTAATAACTAACAAGTAAGATAATATAAAAAGTAGTCACTGTTTTAAATTTTAATATTCTTATTCTTTAATACCTTATGTTATGGAGAAATAAAATATGTTCATTATTTTCTTGCATCTGTTTGGCTGATCATGATATGTAGAAATGAAATAAGTCTATTATTTTATTGCATCTGTTTGACCAATCACAATGGAACAGATTGTTATAAAATTCATGTTACATGCATGCAGATCTGTCAAAGATGTAAAGGATTACTTCAAGACCTTAACTCTTCGGTTTGGAAGCAAGTGGTGGATTTTGTCCACATTGTTTCAGATACCTCCAGAGGGTTACTTGATCATCAGTGTAATCATCTCTTTCTAATACAACTTTTTGTTCTAACTGATTTTGTTATTGTCATGTCTTCTAATAAACTCTCCTACGCTGCAGAACAAAGGCCATGTGTGCTTGGGTATCCTTGACGGTAGTAATGTAAATGATGGATCCTCAATTATACTTGGAGGTACTCTCAAGTCTCACCCTCAATGAAAACCTGAAAGCATATTCTGATGCAGTTTTTGCCTTCTAATTTTGTTCTAATAAATTTTATTTGTGATGTTCTTTTTTCCCTTTTCAATTTTGATTTTTTTTCTTTTATGATTTGATTCATCTGTCACTAACTTTTGCTAGTTATATTCTCTTGAAACTTTACTAACACTTAGTAAAGAAAACATTAAATGAAAAGTGGATGCATTTACTACTTTGCAAGCATAAAAACATTTGACTCTTTCTTTGTTTAAGAATTTAGAGAATTATTCCCAGGATTTAAAGTTAAATTTTCATTTGACAATATTCTAACTTAGCTATACTTTTCTGATAGAATTCATCCCCCTTTATTCTGGATCTCCACTACCTGAACCCGAAACATTAGCTAGTAGATGATAACAGATACTGTGATAATATACCATTGAAATTATTGATTTTAACCATGTGATGTGACATTATTGTACATTCATCAAAACTTACTAACTTATCATGTTGCACCTTTTCGATGGCCTAATTATATTACAAAGCTTGTTCAAGTTATGTAAGTGGTGAAATTTTAACCATGTGTTGCATCATGTCTTTTCCTCTCTTTTGCTTAACTTTGGTTATGTTTTTTTGCCCTCATTGATTTATGATAATGACATTTGCAGACATTTCATTGAGAGGATATTCGGTTGTTTATGATAATGCGAAGCAGAAAATTGGTTGGAAGCGAGCAGATTGTGACATGCCAAGCAGAAGATTGAGAAAGAAAAATAATTTCATCCCTGACAGCATGCTATAATTCACTCCCAAAGAGTTCATTAGATTTTATTTATACATAGTATTACTTTGACCCTTTTTCATGATAAAATCCTATATGCCATGCACGAGTATAAAAATGTACAGTTACAGCCCAAAAGATTGGAACTCATAATAACGACTATAGATAACAAAGATAATTTTATGCATCAGTAACTACTATTGACTTGTTATTATGTAACGAAAATAGTCCAATTGAATGATCACTACGCCAATCTGATAAAAAAAACTAAAAGGGGATATAAAGTAGAAAAACAAGTAAAAGATAAAGCGAAAAAAAAAAGAGTAAAAAATAATGTAGAAATAAAAATTACTTAGTAAAACAAATAATAATCAATTTTGCAAATATTTATTCAGATATATTTAAGGATGGTATAAATAAAGGGGGAAAATAAGAAAGATATATTATTTTAATAAATTGAAATAAGAGTGAAAGAAATGAAGATCCACTTGTTTAGATGAGTGAATAAAAAGTGGAAAAAAATAATATAAATATATTTAAAAGTAATTTTTAATTTAATATTTTTAACATAAATCATTTATATTTTAATATTATAAAAAAATAATGGGAAAATAGCATTATTCTTTACATTTAATTCCGATTTGAAGGAAAATGTTTTCTATCAGGTCCAAATAAATAATATTTTTTTTAACAAATCATGATTCAGTATTTCTATTTTTTCATTCCATTTCACGCTATTTCTACTTACATAAGGGGGAAAATTGAAAAGTATATTAATATAATAAAAAAATTATTGTAAATATTAATAAAACATAGAACATGTATGAATAAACGGTCCTAAAATAAATTAGTCAATGCTTTTTTACCAGTAAATATTTAGTTACTATAACAAGATTATAAAAAAGTTTAATATCTTATTTAATTATTAAATTTTTAAGATTTTTTTTAATTCAGTCTTAAATTAAAGATTATTTTTTATTTTTTATTTTAATTTTTAATTTTTAGTCCTTAAAATTAGAAATTTGTTTATAACTAATGAAAAATTTCAACATATTTTTGATACATATGAAAGATAACTCTAAATTATAGTCTAATATGAATGTTTAGATTTGCAGATATTAAAAATCCTTTATAAAATTTTATAGGTTATGAATTATAAATAAAATTTTAATTATAAGATTAAATTATAAAATATAAAAATAAAAGACTTAATTAAAAAAAATCAATTTAAGAACCAATTAAAAAAAAAAGAATCATCTCTTCAACATAAAATTCACATGATAGGTAAGGTAACCAAAGAAGAAAACTAATTCTAGTATTTATCCAAAAACGAAAAAAGAAAATGATCTGAAGAACGAAAAAGAAGAGCAGCATCCATGAGTGATCACACTAACCCCCCAACAGCAATGCCGGAACCACCGCAACCCCCATCGCCGGAAAACGACGTCGCAGCAGCTTCCCTTCAAAACTCCTCGGAGGACCCAGACTCCTCCCTCCCCACCCAAACCCTCTCCCCAGACTCCTCCTCGGGGCCCCAAAACCCCACCTCCACCCGACCCGACCCGGTCCCCCCGCCGCGGAAGCGCCGCCGCCGCAAGAAATTCTTCACCGAGCTCACCGCCGCGGCGTCGGTGGCCAAGACGCGGCGCAACGACGTGGCCAAGGACTGCGACGTGGAAGCCCTAATCGCGATCTCGGTGGGGTTCCCGGTGGATTCACTCACCGAGGAAGAGATCGAAGCCAACGTGGTTTCCACCGTCGGAGGCTCCGAGCAATCGAACTACATCGTGGTGCGCAACCACATCCTGGCGCGGTGGCGCTCCAACGTCTCCGCCTGGCTCACCTGCGACCGGGCCCTCCGGTCGATCCGCTCCGAGCACAAGGGTTTGGTCGAAACCGCTTACCGGTTCCTCCTGGAGCACGGTTACATCAACTTCGGCGTCGCGCAGGAGATTAAAACCCTCAAATTGAAACCTTTTGACGGGTCCGAATTAGGAACGGTTATCGTGATCGGTGCTGGGCTCGCGGGCTTGGTCGCGGCGAGGCAATTAGTGTTTATGGGCTTTAGGGTTGCGATTTTGGAGGGTAGGACCCGACCCGGTGGGAGGGTTAAGACTAAGAGGATGAGTGGTGATGGGGTTGAGGCTGCAGCGGATTTTGGTGGGAGTGTTCTCACTGGAATAAATGGAAACCCTCTAGGGGTTCTTGCGAGGCAATTGGGGTTGCCCTTGCATAAGGTGAGGGATATTTGTCCTCTCTATTTGCCTGATGGGAGGAGTGTTGACTCTGAGGTTGACTCTAGAGTTGAGGTTTCGTTTAACAAGTTGTTGGAGAGGGTTTGTAAGCTAAGACAGGCCATGATTGAGGAGGTGAAGTCGGTGGACGTGCCGTTGGGGACGGCGTTGGAGGCGTTTCGGAGGGTTTATAAGGTGGCGGAGGATAAGGAGGAGAGGATGTTGCTGAATTGGCACCTCGCGAATTTGGAGTACGCCAATGCGACACTCATGGCGAATTTGTCGATGGCGTATTGGGATCAGGATGATCCCTATGAGATGGGGGGTGATCATTGTTTCATTCCTGGGGGGAATGAGATATTCGTGAGGGCGTTGGCCGAGGATCTTCCGATTTTCTATGGGAGGACTGTGGAGTGTGTGAAGTATGGGAGTGATGGGGTGGTGGTTTGGGCTGGTGGGCAGGAGTTTAGGGGGGATATGGTGCTGTGTACGGTTCCATTGGGGGTGCTGAAGAAGGGGGATATTGAGTTTGTGCCTGAGCTTCCTCAGAGGAAAAAGGATGCTATTCATAGGTTGGGGTTTGGGTTGTTGAACAAGGTTGCAATGTTGTTTCCTTATAATTTCTGGGGTGGGGATATTGACACGTTTGGTCATTTGACTGAGGATTTGAGTATGAGGGGTGAGTTTTTTCTGTTCTATAGCTACTCGTCGGTGTCTGGGGGGCCGCTTCTGGTTGCACTTGTCGCCGGAGAGGCTGCGATTAGGTTTGAGATGATGTCACCGCTGGAGTCTGTGAGAAGGGTGTTGGACATTCTGAAGGATATTTTCAATCCGAAGGGGATTGTTGTTCCGGATCCGGTTCAGGTGGGGTGTACTCGGTGGGGGAAGGATCACTTTGCCTATGGATCTTACTCTTATGTTGCTGTTGGATCTTCAGGTGATGATTATGATATTCTTGCAGAGAGTGTTGGAGATGGTAGAGTGTTCTTTGCTGGAGAGGCAACTAGCAAACAGTATCCTGCCACAATGCACGGGGCGTTTCTAAGTGGAATGAGAGAGGCTGCAAACATTTTGAGAGTGGCAAAGAGGAGGTCTTCGATGCTTGTTGAGAGTGACACATCAAAAAGTGTCACCCAGAAGAATGATGATTTGAACAGATTGTTTGAGAAACCTGATCTGACATTTGGGAGCTTCTCTGCGTTGTTTGATCCAAAACTGAGTAATCTTGATTCCAGTTCATTACTGAGGGTTAAAATTGGAGGAGCTGTCATGGATTCTGGCAGTCTTTATCTCTATGCCTTACTTTCAAAGAAGCGTGTCATTGAGTTGAGTCAGGTGGAGGGAGACGAGAACAGGATGAGAATGTTGAACCGCGATTTTGGGGTGAGTTTGGTAGGGAGGAAGGGTTTAAGTAGTGCTGTTGAATCTCTTATTGCCAACATAAAACTGTCTAGACCCAACTTCAATGAAGAGGAAAATGGTCTCGTGGCTGTGAAAGAAAATTCTTAGTAGCATCATGGAGAATAGAACCTCCTTGATCCTGTTAACTGTATTGAACTTGCATTTTTCTGTTAGATTTAGATATTGACCATTTTTTCCCACTCATTATTAGACATTTTCCCCAATCATGTTACATTATGAACAAATTGAACTGGCACTCCTGTATTCTCTTCTGTATGATCATGAGTGTAAAATGAAATGTTTAAATGTAAGTTGGTTACCAATGATCAAATCGTGTATACCACATTCAATGAACAAAAAATAGTTCTAAATTTTCGACAATATGCTCTCTACCCCTCTCTATAATAAGCAGCATATTTAATTCCAGATTCACCGACAGAAACTCCTTTTATTGGCATGGGGTGGAAATAACATAACTTTCTCACCATCGTGGGAACACTGGAAGACTGCAGTAGTTATAATGTAAACATGGGATGGCCCTTTACTAGTTGGTATAAAGCAGAAACCTGAGGACTGGGGTGGACACGTTTTGATAAAGAAGGCTAAGGTTAGTTTCACCTTCAGTAAGTTATATTCTTCATTTTCAAGTCATTATCCACTAGCCTATCGTGTGCACATTTCGAAGGCAATAGAACAGAGAAATAACGAAGACATGAGCTTATTAAGGAATGGTTTTTATTTATTTTTCCTTTTGGAATTCATGTGCCCCAAGGCCAAAGGAAAAGAAGCCAATTCCTGATTGGCCTTGGTTTTGGTTTTGGACCAATTTGGATCTTAAAATTGCTGACGAATACAGTAGTATCACTCGATTCAGTTTATATTGTTGCCAAAACGAACGTATGTCGGTTGTTTTTCTTTTATGGCAAACTATCCAATTATCTGAATAGAAAAGCGAACCAGTAACCACATTTGATATGGCCTGCATCCTTTTCATTAGTCACTATCTTTTAAATTTGTTTACATAAACATCTCTCATAACAAACAAGCACCAGGGTTTATAAAATATACATCTCTTAAACAGATAATGAATATATTCATTGTAATCAAAATTTCATACAAATTGTTCACATTGGTAAATCATAGAATTAGTGGACGTCAAAACCCATCTCAATTCTGGATAATTTTCATCACTACGAAAATAGCAAAGCTGGATCTCAACAATATGTGATACAAAAGATTAGGCAAGTAGGCTTGACGCCAAATTACACAAGAAAATGTAAATATTATAAGAAAAAAACTAAAGGCAACAACAGACTGATCTAGCTAGACATCTTGACTTGATCACTAGATTGTAGCGCTTGAGATGCGAAAAACCTAACATCAACATCTGGATCCTCACTGAGCTCAACCAGACAAGGACGGATAGTATTCTCAACAACCTACATTGTTCAAAAGATAATTATTAGTAAAGAGACATTAAAAGAATGATGCATTCCAAGAAAGCGACCCACGGTGTTCTATCAAACATTCCTTACTGCCACAAACTTTATTAAAAACCAACAATAGATTGGTGAGAAGTATTGGGAAAAAGATTTTCAAGTGATATTTATTACCATTTTCCAAACAGCCAGCTTAGCTTTTAGCAAGCTGATTTGTTAAGCCAAGCAAATTAAGCAAGTAACTGGTTTGAAATTCTTTTTATAGTGAATAATTTCACAAAATACTTAGCAGCTCTAACTAATTTACAAGATGCACTTTTATGGTTAAGAAATCCATATTATAAGCCAAGTAACTACGGGAAGTGTATTAAAGATGAAAACTTAAATGGAAGCTACTTACAGAATGATCAACAATTGGAATGAGAGACTGCAACACTTTAGCTACATTGAATTTGATATTGGGTACCCTGCAAGACATGCTATGAGGACTGGTTCAAATGAAGACACACAAACAGAGTAAGGACCATGCAACTTTACCTATCTTTTGATGCATTAATGACCAGAGGGAGAAGTTTTGAAGTAGTAATCTCCGAGCCCAGAACAGGAGCTAGTAGAGAAATTGCTTGCAGGATTGTCATTCGATACAGATAGTGGGGATCAGTAACCATGTCCAAAACCTGCAAACGATACAATACTTGTTTAGATAAATAGTAAACAGCACCGTATTTAAGAATATCATTAAGGAAAAACTATATATGGACCTGCGCATGTGAGCGGGTAAATAAGTTAACTATTTTAATTGATAATAATTTAAAAATGTGTTAAAAATATTATTTTATTATTTCATGTTTAATTTTAGATGTGATTTTTTAAATTATTAAATATAAGTTTATTATAACAATTTTTTAATTTTCACATTGATAATACCCACGAAAATAATCTAACATTTAGGTTTTTTTTTTTATCATTATGCCTTCTTTGTAGAGATCTTATAGATTTTTTGGATAAGTCTTGCAATAACATATCTTATTCATTAGATGGTTTAAGTTTTAACACAGCAATATAACATGTTGCAAAAGCATATCTTCTCTATTAGATGGTTGAAGTTTTAACAGATAACATGAATTAAATTATATTTCAAGTTTTGCACAACATTTTTTATTTCAATATTTATAGTTTAAAAAGTTGTTTACTGTAAAAATAAAAAATAAAATAAAAAATAAAAAATAAACTATTAATGTCTCACTTTAAATTGATATAAACACTATTTTTTTTTTGAAAAATATCATTATTAATACAATAAATAAAATAAAACTATACTATTAGAATTACTATAATTAATTTATAGTTTAGCTTTAATTATTTTTGGTCCTTTAATCTTTTTTTTCAAGTCTTGCTACTAAAAACTCTTTTTCTTCTTATATAATATAATAAATCTTATATTTTATCTTTAACTTCTTTGATATTTTTTATTTATCAATTTAATAAATTAAAATTACATAATAAACTAATAATGTTATATAAAATGAAAATTATACGTGAAGAATCAAAAAATAATTACATTTTGAACCAATAAATAATTTACATATTTTTTGTATATAGAAAGAAATAAATCACACAGACATTAGTAAATCAAGATCAACAGAATTTACACGGATATAAAAACTATTATCTTAACCTACAATATAAGGAGCTGAATTATAGCCATAATTAAATGACAATAATTTCTATTTGGTTGTGATAGCTAGATAAACAAAATTATTAGTTTTCTATTTTTATTAAAAAAATACTGTAAAATCATATTAATGTAAATTCAATCCAAAACATTATTATGGTTTAAATGTAGGGTTTATATAACAGCCAATTTAATACAAACTTAAATGATTTATAACCTTATATACTATATTAGTTATTTTATAACTCTCCTAGAAGGTCATAATAAAATTATTGAGTAAAATTAATGCAAAGAAATAAGTAAAAATAAGATTGCTTAAATTATAAATTAGATTTAATAAAATTTTATATAAAACTAGTATTTTCTTTTTGTAATATACTCCTTTATACAAGCAGAATTAAAATAAAATTCTTTGATTACAATATATAAATTTTTTATATTGTTGTAATCCTTTTAACTTTATTCTAAATTTTTAAAATATTAGTTCGTACCGATTAATATCCTTTTAAATTTAAATCATTAAAATGATTTGTGTCATTATTATATAGACATGTAAAGTCTAATTCAAAGCAAATTTACATAATTATGCATAAATTATAATGAATGAGCTGATTTGAAAAATAATAATAATAATAAGCAGAACAAATTATGTACAAAATTAATAAATAATTAATATACTATGTAAGGTTACAAATTATTTAAATTTGTATTATATTAATCGTTATATAAATCCTATATTTAAAGCATAATAATAACATTAAATTTGCATTAATATGATCAAATTTGTATTAAATTCATCATAATTTTCATAGTTACAAATTAAGCTACCACAACAAAAAAAAAATTGATAAATGTAATTTTTTTTTTCAAAACTTCTTGATTAAAATCTTTTGTTTGGATTTTTCCTACAGTTTTAACATTTTTTTAATTCTTTGTGGAAAAAATATAAATCTAGTGAGAATTATGCCTTAGAACATTCATGAACTTCTAAATATGAATCATTGATAACATGAATTGAAAATGTCAAAAGATTGTCACAAAACTTGTGAAGATTCTTGATGAAAATTATGAAACACATTCAACAAAATTTAAATGAGTATTATGTTTTATAATTGTTTAACATTTTAAGACAGTCAAGAGAGTGGAGAAGGAATATGAAATATAACACAATAAAATTATGCAAATTAGACATCTTTAAAACACACGAGATCATAAAAGAAATGTCAATACTCTTCACATGTCCTAAATAAACAATCTTCATAAGAATTGTGGCGTTCAATAAGAAATGTGCTTTAGAATATTTAGGAGAGTGAACAAATATAAAAAAAAAAAATATGAGTATTGGAGAAAAACCATCTGAGAACTCACAAATGAATAAGGCTTTGTCTTTTTAAGAGTGCAAAAATAAGAAATATCAACGATATCCATTTTTCCCAAATAAGCAATATCCATAGGAAATGTTGCGGAAAAGGAATATGAACTAAATATCGATGGATAGTAGGAAGGTAGATGGATAGTAGGAAGGTAGAACTTAGAAGAAATGTGTCAACATTAAGTGGTTAATTTTGGTGTAAATTAGCTTTTAAATAAACAATATTTGGTCGGTTAATTCAGCAGAGAGAATGTGATAGGAAGTAAAATTCCTCAGACTTTGACACATAAGCAAATTAGCTGATGTGGCAAATTAGAATACATTGATGTGACAACATATGACTTTGTAGCTCAGCTTTGCTTTTATATTATAGATAAATAGATAGATAGAAAATATGGATTTTGAAAAACCTTATAAGAGAAGTGTCTATTGTAACAAAGTATTCAGAAGAATCAGAACAGTTTCTACAAGTTGATAGAATCTTTCCTTGAACACCACTGCTCCAAACTCCAAAGCTAGGGGTTTCTTTAAACAATGGCTGTAAAGTCTTGTTCTATCCTGGTCTTTTGCTTTTAAAGCTTCCAACTCACTCCTCTTACGTCACTCACTTTCCTAGCATGTATCAACCTTGTTTTCCTTCTCTCAATTGATTAGTCTTGTCTTACATAAATGTCTTGCCCTTTTCTTTTGACTTTAACTCTTTAAGCTTTTAAAGTAGTTAGTTGCTTTTGTAGCTTGCAACCCCTTTCCAACAGTTCATTTCATTTCTTTATTTTTTTTACTTCCTTTTTCATTAACTTTATTTCAAAATCAGTATTATCTTGTAATTTTTTGTTTTCTTATTAGTCTATAGTTGATTATGGGCATTATACGTAGGCTAAGATGTCAAATCCTAAATATTTGAATTATGAAATGATCAAGAAACTCGAAATTATTTGTAGTTGATTTTGAAAAAGAAAAAGAAAACATGATTTAAGCAAAATTGGCTGTACACAGAGTGCAAGTTTGGGTCAACATTTTCAAAACATTGGTTTAGAGGATGTTCTGTGATATGGGGTGTTGGAATCCTTTTCCACAGTTTACGGTAAAATATACTGCAGATGTAAATCAAGAGACTAAGTTCATCTGCTATAAAAACCTGGGGAATAATGTGCTGCATTGCCCAATCTGGTCCAAATTCTTCCGCTAAGCGTTTGATGTTATTAGCAGCTGCATCGCGGATTGAGTATACCTACACCCATGGTCAATGCATTGGATAAAGTCAATATGATATATTTATACTATAAAACAAATAATAAAAAACAGAACGGCATTGAACTCCCCTCCTCACCCCACAAAAAAGTTAAGAGCACTACTCTATCCCAAATGAATTCCGAAGTAACATTCGACCAGAGAAAATCCTAGCATTTCTTTCCAACCAAATACACCAAACAATCACAAATGGAGCACCACGGGCAAACCCTTTTGCCTTCTCCATAACTTCTAACATTAACACATAGGAACCTTGAGAGGTCCTTAGGGGCAAACCCAATCTTCACCAACAAAACTGTACAAATTACCAAAGAAATGTAATTTTATTATATTTTTATTTTAAAATCTAATTTGAAGTTAAAAACACTTGGGTGATTTGTGTTGGTGGGACTTGGGATTTAGAGTTAAAAAAAAAAAAAGAAGGGGAAGCTCCTAAAATTAATACAAACTCCTTTTTTTTTTTTTTTTTTTTTT